GACCTTCTCCAAGCCAGCACCTAAGTACAGGTTTGCCTTATGGGAAGACGGTTACCTTGGAAAACAAATTTTCAAATTGGAGCTTGTCTAGAAACCCTCTAGATTAAGAATTGCACTTGCTGGGTTTGGTACCTGAAAACTAGTAAGACAGAGCCTGAACAAATAGTGTTCTTCAGGCAAGCAGCTTCCTGACGTGTAGTCATTTGTTAACTGCCTAAGTCTCGGTCTTAGAGAAATTTTCCTTCTTGCCCTGGGCTCACCTGAGCCAGGGTGGTGGGGGACCAAGGGTGTCAGCCATGCCCTCTGCCAACACACACAACCAGCCCAGCAACGACTACAAAGCTGCTGCAGGAAGCACCCTGGGCTCCTGAGCTGGGGTGGTGGTGGGGGGCAAGGGCTTCAGACATACCCCCTTGACATCTGCACCCAGCCCAGCAATGACCAAGCCACCGCTGGAAGCCCCCTGGTCTCCCCTGCAGGAAGGAGGGGGGTGCCACAGGCCTCACCCCTGCCCCTCCTCCTTCCTTCTCCCACCTGATTTCCTTCCCCTTCCCTTCTCCCCCACCCTCTCAACGGCTCTGCAATAACATCATAGAATGTAAAAAAAAACATTTTTTTCCTTCTCCTCCTTCCTCTTCCTAACAGATGATGGGAAATGCTGTTGAAGTTGCCCCTTCCACCCTACACTCCATTCCCCTCCCCACACCCCCAGAGAACCGCTGGGCTGAAAGGGATGTTTATCCTTCCAGGCATGTTTTTTATAATTTCACTTTCATTAGTGTATATTTCACAAACAATATATATTACATTATTTTGCATATATTTAAACTTTTAAAAAGTGGTCTTTACTGAAGGTATCCTATTGTATCATACTTTTTTTTTTTTTGCTAAACATTATTATTGTTAGTTATATCCATGTTGTGCATATGTATAGATTTGGTTTACTAATTTAAATGATGTACAGTATTCTATCGTGGAATTGTACTACAATTTGTTAATTATTATCTTGGTGAGGAAAATTTAAACAAATGCTTAATTTCTCACTATTACAAACACTTTGAACTTGTGATTGTCTGATGATGAAGCCCGTGCTTTCCCTGCTGTATAGAATTGCCTCTCCATGATATACTTCTAATTCAGTTTGATTTGGTGGAATACGTTAGCTAAGCATTAAAATTTGGTAATGCCATTTCATTTCCAGGCAAAAATCACTTTACTACTTTCGTCAAACTTGAAGAGTAGATTTAGGTCTAAGGCTAAGCTGTTGATTACAGTAGCTACTAGCCATGTGTGGTGACCGGGCACCTGAAATGGGGTCAGTCCAAATTATGAAGCATTGTAAGTGTAAAGGACATACCGGATTTTGATGGAAAAAGAATGTAAAATATCTCATTAATACGTTTTTGATATTGAAATGATAACTTTTGTATATATTGGGTTGAATAAAATATATCATTAAAATTAGTTTCATCTGTTTGTTTTTACTTTGTCAATGTGGCTTCTAGAAAATTTNAAAAGAATGTAAAATATCTCATTAATACGTTTTTGATATTGAAATGATAACTTTTGTATATATTGGGTTGAATAAAATATATCATTAAAATTAGTTTCATCTGTTTGTTTTTACTTTGTCAATGTGGCTTCTAGAAAATTTAAAGTTACTATGTGTCTATTGGTCAGCACCGGTAAATGATTGATTAGGCTGAAGTGATGGAGCCTGTACTTCTAAGTGCCAGGCGGGGGCAGCAGAGAGTTGCCAGAATCAGGATTCCATGTAGAAGTCCTTAAAGCGGTGTCCTACCAAGCTGAGAGGCTCAGAAGGACAGGATGTCAGCAAAGGCAGTAAATGGGGATGTAGTAGGCAAGGACCAAGGATCAGATCCTGGATTCTGGTTGAGAGGGAACAGAGCCGAGGCAATCTAGAGGAGAGAAGGCTGCTTAAACAATGAAAGCTCTAACATAGCACAGCTTTGAAGTCACACAAGTCTGTGTTTGAATCCTGACTCTGTCAACTTGGGGAGGTTATTTGACCTCTGTAAATCTCAGTCCTCCCATCTGGAAACTAGGGATGATGGTCCTTATTTATTTATTTAGTCTTGTTGGTGCAAGTAAAGAGCTTATCATATACATTGAATATTTGCTGTTATTGTTTTTATCTTAATGAGTCATTGAGAAAGCATAAGAAGGAACATCTTTCCTCTTGAAGCAGTAGACCTGGCTGTACGTCTTACCACCCAAGGGTATAAAGTGACCCATAAGGCTCAATACTTTCTACCCTCTTTTCATCTTTAGGCAGAACTTAGACAGTTCTCTCAGCTGAGAAGTCATACACTGGCGTTCTTACTGTCTTATACCTCACCGAGCAAAAGCCTTAAGTTGATTCCTCTTTTTGGCTCTAAGGTGGGTCCTGCGTGCATTTGTTCATGGGAATGGCCCTGTCCTGTGTTAAGCAAGCATTGGATATGCAGAGATGAGTGAAATGTGGTTAAAATGCTTACAGTTTGGGTAAAAGAGCTAGATCATTATTACCTAGCTGTGATAGAGTGTGATGGGAGCCAAAATTGAGTCCAGAGAAAGTTGTTAATTCCTTGGGGAGGGTGGAGAAACTTTCAGTGATGGTGTTGGAAAGGAGAGGACACTGTTGAGTTACTTATCACCCAGTCTCCTAAGGTCCAATGACCTCCATCTCTCTCAATGATCCCCATCTCCCACCAGCAAAGTGACACCCTGGAGCACATCACCAATAGAAACTGCTCCATTTTTTTAGACCTGAGCTCTGATATTCCTCTCAGTACTACCCAATCCTCCTAACTTCATTCAGAAAAATTTTATTGAGTACTTGATATGTGCAAAAATTGGTATTTCTTCATAGGCATGGACCTTGACACTCTTGCTACAGTTTTTCTTAATGCACCGATTGTCTCTAGCATGGACTCTAGGAGATTGGATAGCTTTTCTTCCTGTTTTCCCTCTGGGTAGAAGACAGTAGACACAGCTCTGTCCAGAATTATTCCTTAGATCATTTTCCCTTCCAATGGAGTTCTAGATATTGCTCTTTGGAATGGTGTTCCTTGTGAAATATTTGCAATTTAAATATGTAATTCTTTGTACAACTCTTAGTGGAAAAAATATGTAATTCAAAACTAATGATCTGGTATATGCTTATACAAGGAGTATTTGATTCTGAGGATTTAGGTTGGATTGCAGTTAGATTATTGACAGAACATTTAGCATTCTGGAAAAAAGCTTTCCAATATGGCTTTGGTTTGTAAACTATTAGGTTGATATTATTCTTTAATGAAGTAGTCTCTAAAGAGTGATGTACCATTTAGGGGCTTTGTAAGATAATTAATGGGGTTCAGAAAGAAAACATTAAAGCTTTTGCTTTTGATTAGCTTTTTTCTTTTTTTTGGCAGCTGGCTGGTATGGGGATCTGATATAGTTAGCTTTTAATCATCCTTTTATAATGTATATATTTTTGTGTATGCTTTATAATTATATAATATGTTAGTATAGCAATATAAGTATATAATAAATAAACAAAAAAATAAACAAAATAAATATATATTGAGGGTGAGCAAAAAGAAGTCTGTAGACAACTGCCTGAATTTATTAGTCAAAATTTTTGAGATTTCTAGTTACAGAAACCCAGCTCAAACTAGCTAATGGAAAGAAGGCACTTCTTGGCACTTGGAAACTGAAAAGACCAGGTACACAGCCAGCCTCGGGGATGGGGGTCCGGGTGCCCAGAGATATTGACAGGGTGTGCTCACTCTGTCTCTCAGCTCTTCGTGTTAGGAAAGATGGCAAGTGGGGCCTTGAACTCACACTCTCCCAGCTTAACATCCACTGGTAAGAGCCTCTCTTCCTCAGGAGCAGCAAAATCACATGGAAGATTGGCCTGGGTGGGTGCCAAGTCCATATCCGAATATTCTGGTTACCTGGATTAATTATGTGCTTGGGGAAGGGAGAGCATGGATTAAACACATGGGAACCACATGGCAGAGTTTCCCCCAGGAAAGAGGAACGGGACACAGGAAAGGGCAGACTGAACACGTAGCAGCCTCGATGAGAGTGGACTGATTGCCACAGGAGCAGTCAGGGCAAAGTGTCTCATCCAAAGCTGTTAGGATCCATATTCCAGTGAGTAACTTACTAAAATTATAAGTGGGCATAGAACATGGAGTAAGCTGCCAGGTTCATTCCTAGGCTGAGGAAAGTATATGTTAAATGTGAATTAAGGTGATACCAACAAGTCTAGGTGAACATTATTTCTGATACTGCAAAATTCAGAAAAGCTGAGACATAGTTTCCCCCTTTTTAGAAGTGCCGGTCGACTTCCTCTGAGTGGAGCTCATGGTGTTCAAATTGTAGGCTTTGGGGTCAGAGTGACCTTGGTTTGCATCTTGACAGTGCCACACACGAGCTGTGTATATGGTGCCCAATTTGCCAGAAGCCTCTGAATCTCCCTTCATTTGTACCTCCCTGGTAGGGTTGTTGGGAAGATTAAATGAGAACACCTAACACAGTGCCTAGTGCTTAATGAACAGGAACTTTTATGTTGATGCTGCTTATGATATTTTCCTTTTCAACCAGTTTGGTCAAATCTCTACAGTCTGGGATCCAGACAGGGTTGATTTATCTTTGGGAACCCCACTGAGTCCCCAAAGAGCTTGGCATGTAGTAGGTGTTCAATAAATAATTGTTGAATAATGAATGAGGGAATAAAAGTAGTTTATTTTGTTTCAAATCATTCCCATGGGGTTCTATTATGAAATGCTACTCAGACTTGCAGCTCTACCAAAGGACAAATTACTCTTTGAACAAAAAAATGATTTCTTGGTGTTTTCCCTCATTTCAGCTTTCTGAAATGTGCACCAACATTCCTGCAGGGAAGCTTGTCAGTGTGTTGGGATTACAGTACTGGCTTCGTGCTGAACTGTAGAATTTTTCATGTCTCATTCTGTTACCTTATAAAATATTTTGATCTGTTTCCCCAGACTGACCACAAAAGACCTGCTCTCATTGACTTCTCCAAAGACTCTTCCCCACTAGAGAAGGACTGAGAAAGCTGACCTGGCCTGTGATTGTCTGGGATGCAATTTGGAGATAAACGCTATGGGTTTTGTCAGGCCGATTTTGTACAACTCCTGTGACTCTCAATGTGGAGGAAGTTGCCATGGAAAACAATTATTTTAAAAGACAAGCTGTTCTTTGAGGAAATAGCGATCAAGAGAAAAGTGGTATACATTTTTCTGCATGCTCCTGTGATTGTCTGGGATGCAATTTGGAGATAAACGCTATGGGTTTTGTCAGGCCGATTTTGCATAACTCCTGTGACTCTCAATGTGGAGGAAGTTGCCATGGAAAACAATTATTTTAAAAGACAAGCTGTTCTTTGGGGAAATAGCGATCAAGAGAAAAGTGTTATACATTTTTCTGCATGCCGTTGAGGGACTCATTTTTGATATCCTATATTTGCCCAGGAATCTGGTATGCTGGAGCTTTTGCCCACAGGGAGACAACCTTCCCAAAATGCTATCAGAACTTCTAGCCTTGGAAAAGTGTTATGGGGTCACCAGGACTCTCATCTCAACCCCCAAACTGCATGCTTACTGAAGAGAGAGCAATGATACTAGAAGGGCTGGCCAGCTGCCGAGAGAACACTCCTGTCACCCTGATTTTGAGAGTAAAACAGACAAATGAAGTTGGCGACTTCACTGCTAATTACTGACTACAACCAAAGTCACTTTGAACGTTTCTTTTAAAGATCAGAAAGCTTCTACTGGGAAGATTAGACATTTGTTAGGTCTGAACTGCAGGAGGGGAATTGTGTTTGAATACTGAAACTTATCTTTGCTCCACTGCTGGAGAGGAGAAAAATAAATAATAGGACTTATATGTGCTGGGCAGAAAATAAGGGCCCGAGGCTCCAGACCCAGGCTGAGGAATGGTGGGTAGAGGAGGACTTGACATGGGCTCCTGCTGAAAGGGCAGTGGAAAGGCTGCACGTCTCTCAGGCGGACCTTCCCGTGGCAATGTGTGTGGATGTGAAAGACACTGCATGTAGGTGGGTGAGCCTGCTGAGGCTACTGGTAACAATGTGATGTGTCCTCAAGGCAGTGGCAAAAGCTGGAACAGAAAATATTTTCACCAATAAGAGAAGCTAAGGAGGTAAGGCAGATTCTCGGCGAGGTCTCTAATGGAAATAAAAAGCTTCCCTCTTTCTTCTGCCCTGTATCCTCCCATGTCTACTTTTAGCTCTACCAACGGAAGGCAGTGGGCTGAATTACTCAGCTGTTGATGTGAATGGAAAAATGTTGTGAAAGAAAATAATAGTGAAATGAATTTGTTTATAAGGATGATTTGGGATATTTTCCATCAATGAAGCATCAAAAAGCTATTTCAGATTATTCACCGTGGAAGGGAGCTAGTATGATTTAGGTTACGGAAATTTTTGAGAATAAATAACTGTCTCCCTAAATACCATGAGATTTCACTCAGAGGTGATTGTCACCCGGTATTTGTACAGAGATCTAAACTTTTCAGAGCAATTTATATACTTCTTTCATTTGAGGTGCATAACAACCCTGCATGGTTTGTAGGACCCAGATTATTATTCTCTTATGACAGATAATGAAACTGTGATTGGCAAAGGCCCAGCAGACTTGCTCAAGGTCACATAACCAGTTAAAAACAGAACTGGGGCTGAAACCCAGGTCTCTATACTCTAAGCTGTTTTCATGTCATCACACAATGCTGTCTCTGTTTTAGCATGACCAGCAGATGCCATTTCCTGCTTTGACCTGGACCAGTTTTTAGATAACCCAAACTTTCAGGGAGAGTTGCTGGAGCGTCTTCAGTGGGCAATTCCAGCATATCTTCATGTTCAGAGGAGCAGCTCGGGGCTAACAGCAGGAGGAGGTTTGTGCTGCTTTCCACGAGGGAGGACAGGATGGTTTGAACAATCTTGCAAGAGGAACGTTTCCTCTTCAAAATCTTTGTTTTGTATGGATAGAGACCATTTGGTACCAGCCTAGTGCAGAGATAATTAGAATGGCTTGAATCAACTGAGTGCTTGGTGGGTAGTTTTATTTTCTCCAAAATTATGCTTGGAGAGTTTTAAATGACCAAGGTTTCCTGAAATATCAGTAAGTAGAAAATGAACAAATCAAATTCCAATTACTTTTATGGATCTAAATTGCAATAATGTTTTTTAGTGAAATAAAAATACATTTACCCAGAACATAAGTATATAAGAGAATGGGCAAAGGCAGTTCAGAATTAACATTTTGTCTTCCCTTTGTAGATATTTAACTTTTTGGCATCAAAAGATATTCACTAGGTGTATTTCCTGTGGATAATCTCCCTGAGAAAAGCAAGGACTATTTTTTTTTTGAGGACTCTTGTTTTGTTTTACTTTTATAAGGCTGCAGTAGAATTAACGATTCCTTTCTCCAGTCATGCGCCATTTGCCATAGGGGAAACCAATGTCATAGGCCACTCACACCCATGAAGGGACATTTGTTTGTAGTAACCACTGTTATGGGCATTGGGGAGCTGTTTACATGGAACAATATTCATGACTCTCTCCTTTCCTCAAGACCAGGAGTTTATTATTATTATTATTATTATTATTTTTTTTTTTTAAAGATGACTGGTAAGGGGATCTTAACCCTTGGCTTGGTGTTGTCAGCACCACGCTCTCCCAAGTGAGCCACAGGCTGGCCCTTTGATTATTATTAATAATTATATTATTGTTCCACCAGCAACATAGACATGGGATAGGGCCCTCGCTATCGCAGCCATTTGTTCTGAACTAGGGTTCAGATGTTCCCCTCACATGGTTTGTGGCTTTATGGAGAAGCTTTAGGAACTCCCTTCTCAGAGTGATGTGGATTTTGCTTGTGAGAAGGCCTGGTGGGGACATGGGTCACAAGGATCTACAGGCCACCTCTGGTCAGGCTGAACTGTATAGAGTGTTTACTGAGACTGGCATGAAGCATCTTAACTAGGAGTTGAGTGCTGAATGATGGTCCACGAGTGAAAGAGGGTCTTGGAGCTGGAGAAGTGGTGCAGGGGGTGAAGCTATACTATAAACAGGAAACAAAGTCAGAAGCTGGTAGAATGGGAGTAGCTTGGCTGGTTGAGTGAGAGGTGGGTTGAGGTACGTGGTTAAAGACAGAGGAAATGAATAAGGCCAGGTTCTGGAAGCCTGCAGAAACATCTTAAAGAAGGGCGTACAGACCTGTTCAAAGCAAAGGCTAATTGCAATCAAAACAAAGAAAGCAACCTTTTCTTTTTTAAAAGTTAATATTATTTTTAATTGATAAATCATAACTGTATACATTTATGTGGTACAGTATGATGTTCTGATATATATATACAATGTGGAATAATTAAATCAAGCTCATTAACATATACATCATTTCATTTACCTATCACTTTTATGATGAGACATTTGAAGTTTACTCTCATTTTTTTTTTTTTTTTTTTTCCTTTTGAGGCTGGCTGCA